CCAAATTTTCTTTTTTCTATTTCTAGCTTTTTTTCCTCATTTTCTCGCTTTATTTTAATATTCTCTTCCAGCAGATTTTTTATTTCTGCATCCCTCTTCTGTTGGTTTTCAGCATCCCTGTCAAGCTTCTCCCATATAAGGTCAAAATTACCTTTTCCCCTTTTTTGGGAGCAGGATGTGTTACATGGGGGAAATATCCGGTGAAGCAAGGTGGTGCACAGGCATGGTGGCGAACCCGGTCTAGCTCGTCGGATTGGGGGCGAGGTCTTTACCACCCGCCTTTACTACACCCACATCAACAAAATAGTTCAGTCATGCCTGATTAATGTAACAAAAGAAAGAAAAAAAAAACGTCGAAGCACAGGAGATGAAGGAAAAAGATGCAAAGTATGAGGTCCCGTCCTGTCAGGTGGAGTCGTCCCTCCCCTTCCACGTGCGACCTACGCGTAGCCATGGGCGTTGCCGCGACTCCTGCTACCTTGCAACACCCCCCAAGCATGACAAAGTCCGTCGGTCACTAGTTCATACGTCAACTAGCCGTCCAGTCTATGGTCAACACCCACATGTCCCCTCTTCTGCCTAAGGGTAACCACGTACCTTACGACTGGTTGGTTTCAATGTTGAGGAGTTGATGCTGGAAAACTTTTAAATTTGTGGCGCAGACGTGGTGTCCTGGTTAATTCGCTTTTGTGGCAAACTCGCTTTGAAAAAGACGGTGGACTGTATTTCTGTGGTTTCCTAGGAATTTTAGTTTCGAGTTAGTTGCAGATGTGGTTGAGGCCGTACTGCGTACGTTTGCAGACATTTTAGGAGCTTCAATTAAGAAATCGCTTTTCATTAGTGCATGCTTAAGCGCTTGTAATTTCTCAAGTATGTACGCATTGGCGCGGGCCTCAAAGGAACCTTCATCCATGAAATAATTGTTCCTATCAAACTGTTGATAGTACTTTGATTTATGAGCTGGTGTTACTGCTGAATCAGTCTTAAGATAGTTTAATATTTGTATTTGCTGTCTGTTGTAATTTAATTCGGTTGCGATAATTCTTTTAGTTTCGCTGGCAGTTGGTTGAAATGTTTGTATGCAAGTGTGCAAATACATATGCAGATTGCGTACTCCATGCCCAGTAGCAATTAAACCATCTAAATCATCGATTGCTAAATCGAATTCGTCTTCCTCGCTCTCATCTTCACTCCGGTCATCTTCATCTTCGTCATCTGCATCAGCATCTTCTTCCTCCGATTCGGCTTCGTCGTTTATGTCCCCATATTCAGCTGCTTGGAGATGCTGTTGCAGCAGCACTTTTGTAATGTTGAAGCGAAAAAAATCTCGCAATTCCAGCACCACATGCGTTGACTTTTGCAGCTTCTTCGCAAGTCGTTTGCTGAATATCTGAAGGTCATGTTGCAGTGTTGCCGACGCAGAATTGTAGAATGATTCGCTATTATTTTTTAAAGCGCCCATGCTAGCCGCTACGCCATTGCTGCTAAAATGCGCGGAATCAAATAGCTCCTGTATTGTGGCAACGCGCATTTCTACATTGCGTATAATCCGCAATCGCCCGTCAATATTACGCACCACTTCCAGCACATTTTGTTGATTATTGTAATTTGCAAAAAACACGCTGGCTGTTGTTTGACCAAAAGACGAAGAGACTCCGATAGATCCAATATTGCTAGGCTCCGTTGCATTGCGTCGCAAAGGCACTTTTTGTGGTGCAGCGGAAACTCCGGCTACCGAGGCTGGCACCAGCAATGGAAGCGCATTTACATTGGCAGTGATAAAATCCTTGGTTACCAGCGGCAATTGAGTGGTTGCATTTAGATTTACATTAAGACTAATATTACTTAAAGATACAGGAACATTGCTCTTAGTGCGGCTGTTATTTTCTGTTGCAGGAACTGTGACTGCTGCATTCTGGTCAAAGTTATCGAGCACCAGTGCGTCACAGCTAAATAGCAAAACCAGAATTAGTACTCGATTCATACTGTTAAGCATTACTGGCATCTTTATCGTGGTTGCTTTTCCCCTATTTGATATTTGATAACCTCAGCCGTCAAGTTTGTTCATGGCTTGTTATTGGTACGTTCTGAAAGTTACTTGAATGCCCATTTGCGGATATGGTGATTTTCTTTGTTTTGTTTAGCTGTGTTAACACTACATTTTTACAATAGTTTTAATTAAATAAACACTTTTATTTATGCTTAAATTACAGATATCGGTGCTCGTGAAAATTCGTGCAGCACGCAGTCAAGCGATGAAATACATACGGGTTGCAACGAGGAGCTGTCTTACGATTCTTCTGAATTGCGAGATTTTTTATCTAATGGTTAGACTTCGAGGGTCTCTGCTATGTGTAGGTGAGTGATGAAAAGATTTTCATATGATTTATTGAATATGTTGTTAGAAACCCAGGCGAGTTGATATAGGGTGGTGTTGTGTTTTTGTTGTTGCCCCTTTTTTATATTTCAAATACGCTTGTAGGCAATTGTGAAAATTTTTTCGACAGTATATATATTGAAATATTGTCGGCAATGGGCTGGCAATTGTCACTCTGACAAAATTGTTGCCACAATAGCGAAAAAACTAAATAGCCGCGTCGGAGAGCTTTCACAGGAGAATTTAGTGAATTTATTTATATGGTAATTGCGCGCATTTCGTTACCTTTTTACTTTAATTTGAATGTTTCTCTAAACTAAAATAAAGCGCAAATGCAATTATTACATATGAATTTCATATAAATTTCATATGGCTGGCGTCAATTTTTCACCGATAATTTTAAACCCGACAATGACACTTTTTCACATTTTCAATGGAATCTCTCATGAGGTATAGAAGTGGAATTTGTATGGGTACTGACGGAGTGGAATATTGATGTAGTTGGTGTCTCGTTGAGAGGGTTAGGTAATCATATAAGGGGTAGAATCAAGAAGCATTCGGTGGCTTCTCAATTCTCTCGTTGTACGGTGGCAGTAGGATAAGTTTTGCCAGCGGTCGTGTTACCTGACCCTTCTCGGTGGTGATGTCCACCACACGCACTCGGTTGTCGGAACCGGGGTGCAGGTTGATTACTCTGCCTAATCTCCATTCGTTAGGCGCTAAATTGTCCTCTCTTATAACGACGAGATCACCGATCTCCATATTCTGCTTTGGATTTTTCCACTTAATTCGCTTCTGTAGTTCGGATAGGTATTCTGACTTCCATCGCCTGCAAAAGGTTTGATGTAAAGCCTTTAATTTCTGCCACCTATTTATTATGGAGGCTGGGTTTTCATTTACATCTAATTCCGGTGGCGCGAGTAAATGACCGCCTATGAGGAAATGACCGGGAGTTAGAGGCTCCAAGTCAGTTGGCTCGTTCGATGAGGGACTTAACGGTCGCGAGTTGAGACAAGACTCAACTCGGCATAATAAGGTACTGAGCTCCTCAAAGGTGTATTTGTGGGTGGATGCAATCTTTTTGAAGTGGTTTTTGAAACTTTTTACACCCGCCTCCCACAGTCCGCCCATGTGAGGAGCTGCTGGGGGTATAAAATGCCATGTAAGTGTTTGATGACTATATTTCGATATGGTTTTATCACGCGCTTCTGCTATGAACGCCTTCATTTCAGATCGTAATGATCGAGAAGCTCCGACAAAATTGGTACCGTTGTCGGAGTACATGTTTTTCGGACATCCTCTTCTACCAACAAACCTAGCGAATGCTGCCAGAAAGGATGGGGTGCTGAGATCGCTTGTCGCTTCCAAGTGAATTGCTTTAGTCGTAAAACAAACAAAAAGGCAAACGTAGCCTTTGGAAATGCGGCAACCGCGGCCGCGATAGCTCTTAATCTCAAAGGGCCCGGTAAAATCGACACCTGTGTTTGTAAACGCACGCGAGAATGTTGTGCGTTCTTTCGGTAGGTTATCCATAAGTTGGGTTTGTGACCGTTTCTTATAGATAGTGCAGACTTTGCAGTTGTGGATGATGGACCTGATCATGTTTTTGACTCGGGGAATCCAATATTGCGTCCTAATGAGACGTAACATTAGTTGGTTTTCCCCATGCAAAGAAATCTCATGGACAAACTGGACAAGAAGGCGAGAAAATCTACAATGTGCACTTTGCAACCAATCTGAGCCGTCTTTGTCACTCGCGGACAGACGGAGTTAGCTCGTTTGGTAATTTTAAAAGCTATGCACAAATTTTCGCTCCTCACAAAATCACCCGCGTGAATCTCGTTTGCAATTGCGTGTGTTTTCTATGCAACATAAATATAGCACAATTGCTCACAAAATAAATAGATTTATGATGTTTTATTTTTTTGAAAGTGCACTTGAATATGTCTTTAACAATTGCATTTTCTTCACAAAATCACTTCTGCGTGTGGATCCCTTGCAGTATTAATTTGCGAGTATTATTATTGTCTTGTGAACGTATTTGCAAATTACACACATACTTAATAGCAGTTGGGTGGCGAGTCACTTTTTTATATATACAGCATATATACAGCCTTTATATATACCAATCCCTGATAATTGAAAGAGAGAAATATATTGAGTTAAATAAAGTTTTACCATAACTATTTTATATATAAATTTAACGGCTACTTCTTCAATTCCAGAAATTATATCTTTTGTTTGGCGTTTCGACCACAAGAGTTGGTATCTTTTTCAGCGGCAGAAACTTTCGTTTATTGAATACTTGGCGAACAAATTCGATAATCTAAGCATTTATTTTTGTTTAAGAGTAAGGTTGCTATCACATATTAAAGCACATCGTCGAATTTATCTGTGATTGATTTTAATTCAAGTACCATTTTTAAACATGATTTTAGCAGCACGCCACCTGCAGAGCAAAATAAACATGGTCTTGCAATACAGCAAGACGAACTGAAAGATATGTGGGAAAAAACTAAACAAGGGTATGATACTATAATAAACAAAGAAGGGTTGTCGAAAGAAGACATTAAGGCCATAAGGAGAGGAACATAAAAGCTCGTTCGCTAGCTATGTTAAATGCATGTCTGCCATGGCGAGTCAATCCGAAACGCTTGTTAACGCAGAAAAGGATGTACAGGATCAGTCGGTCCGTGAACACAATATCCACCTACCTCCGTGTGATACCGATGTGTTCAAGGGTGACTATCTGTCATGGCCATCATTTCGTGATATGTTCACGGCCATATACATCCTTAACAAGCGCCTCACTCCGGTTGAGAAACTATTTCATCTCAACCAAAAGACTCAAGGGGAAGCCAAAGACATCGTGAGAAAGTGTCCACTCACAAACGAAGGCTTCCAAACAGCCTGGAAAAGTTTATGCGAGAGATATGAAAACAAGCGTATCCTCGTAAATACACAACTGAAAATACTTTTCAATTTAAATTCAGTGGATAATGAGTGTGGTAGCTCAATAAAAAGGTTGCAGCGGGATATAAATAATTGCTTATCGTCCCTAAACAGTCACCAAATTAACGTTTCAAACTGGGATGCAATTATAGTCTACCTCTGCTCCACCAAACTTCCAGAAAGTACGCTGGCTCTATGGGAACAAACCATAGACCACAAAAATGATATACCAAAGTGGGAGGATATGGACAAGTTCCTATCCAACAGATTTCAAACGCTGGAGACTTTATCAGGCTTAAAAAATTCCAAAGCTGTGAGAGCGCCAAAGCCGCAGCACACACACAAACCAGCAGAAGCCTCCCCAAAACGACTTGGCGTTTTCCAAGCAAGCGTGACCAAGTTCACTTGCATAATGTGCCAGTCCAATGAGCACAAGTTACGCAGCTGTTCCCGCTTCTTAAAGATGACACCATCTGAAAGAATAGAGTTCATGAAAAACAATAACTCTTGCTTGAACTGTCTTAAGTCTGGACATACTGTGTCAAGATGCACATGCTCGTTTAATTGCAGCAAGTGCCACTCCCGACACCACACGCTCCTGCACCTTGAGACTGACCAGCAAAAGCCTACAGCGCACCAAATGCCGCCAAGCTCAACTGGTAATCGAGCATCTTCATCGAAGCAAGCACAAACAAGACGCAAGACAGGAAAACCAAATTCAACTGGGGACAAAAATGTCAAGTCTTGTTTTGCAAATTCAAATACTGGTGTGCTCCTAGGAACAGCGCGCGTAAATATACATTATAATGGAACCGATTTTTCTGCTAGAGCTCTTATTGATTCCAGGTCTGAGTGTTCCTTTATAACGGAAAGACTCAAACGCCGAATCAACCTGCCATCCAAAAGGTTGCATGCCCAAGTTTCTGGCATCACAAATTCCATATCGGCGCAGGTCAAAGAAGCATGCAATATAGAAATACGGTCACCGATTGACCCATTATTCCGGTCGAATACCACTGTGCTTGTCTTAGCACAACTAACTGGAAATCTTCCAACTACCCATATTAGCGCTGAAACTAAACAAGCATTCCCAGACTTAATACTCTTCTAGCCCAAGAAACCGTGTTCGGTTGGATATTAACCGGCCGCCCAGATGCAACAAGTGCAACCAACCATATTGCTTCATACTTTAGCGAAGTCGCCTTGGATAAGCAGCTTACTGCGTTCTGGGAAGTAGAGGATCTGCCGAAGAGCAAAAGCCTAAGTGAGGAAGACAAGTACTGTGAGGAGTTGTACAAGAATACAACTCAACGTACCCGAGACGGGAAATATGTAGTTTCGCTACCATTCAGGCAGGATTTTCCAGAGAATGTCTGCCTAGGACCCTCCCTAAGAAGAGCGTGCTCACAATTTTTCCGACACGAGACGCGATTGGCCAAGGATCCTGGACTACAAAAGGAATATAACAGGGTATTATTGGAATACGAATCGTTAGGGCATATGTCAAAGCTAATAAATAATATACCAGCAGAGTCCTCCGACAACTATTTCCTGCCTCATCACGCGGTCATCAAGGCAGAAAGCACGTCAACAAAACTTCGCGTGGTTTTTAATGCCTCAAGTCCGACGGCAAATGGTGTAAGCCTCAATGATGTACTGCTCCCAGGACCAGTACTCCAGGCGGATCTTCCCATATTAATCCTACGTTGGAGATTATATAAATACGTCTTCAACAGCGACATCGAGAAGATGTACCGGCAAATTATGGTGCATGACAATCACACTAAGTTCCAGCGCATAGTTTTTCGTACCAATACGAACGAACCGATCAGTCTTTACGAGCTGAAGACGGTCACTTTCGGGGTTAACTGTGCTCCTTACTTGGCAATAAGGACACTTTTACAAATAGCTGATGATGTGGAAAACTCCTCTCCGATAGCATCCAATATTTTA